ACAACTGGGTATCAAACATGCCTTGTATAAAACCTAAAATACCTAAAAAAGTTTATGATTTTTTTCCGTAGCCAAAAATATTATGGTTATTTTAAAAACACTATAAAAGTATAACAGAATTTGCCTAGGGTGTGCACCACCGAAGAATACACACACTGGACAATATAGAAGTGTCACCCCCTGAATCAGAGTAATCAAAGTTATAATTTTTTTAAACAACGTTTATTCAAAAGAATGAAGTGGAGGCAAGGCGCTGGAAGCATTATATGCTCTCCCCAAAATTAAATTAAATAAGTAAATAAATAAAACAAATTGATAGGTATATACATATATACAACAGAGTAAATGTAAAACTTCATATATATCAGGAGCACAAGTTGAGCACAGAAAGAAAGAAAGAAGAGGAAAAGAGATAGTACCTATTAAGTGATAACAAAGTTTACGAGAAGAAAATTTGCAACAGTTTCGAAGATAATTTCATTTTGGGTGGNAACAACGTTTATTCAAAAGAATGAAGTGGAGGCAAGGCGCTGGAAGCATTATATGCTCTCCACAAAATTAAATTAAATAAGTAAATAAATAAAACAAATTGATAGGTATATACATATATACAACAGAGTAAATGTAAAACTTCATATATATCAGGAGCACAAGTTGAGCACAGAAAGAAAGAAAGAAGAGGAAAAGAGATAGTACCTATTAAGTGATAACAAAGTTTACGAGAAGAAAATTTGCAACAGTTTCGAAGATAATTTCATTTTGGGTGGGTGATAAGGATTCATGACCGTAGAGAAATAAGGACAGCTTTTCTTTTTGTGTTTTGAAAGAGGTCTTGCTTGCATGTAGAATTTCATTTATTGTTTGGTAAAGGGGAGGGTACTTTAAATTGAGTAAAGGGCATCTGAAGAAAAAGTGAAGAGGGGTTTCAAGGGCACCACAGGTGCAGTGTGGTGTGTCAATAGTAGTCCAGTTATGCCTAAACAATTCTGCTCTAAATAAACACCCGACCCTCGCTCTGTTAAGATTTTTTTCATGATTTCTGTTCAAGTTTAGTGTTGTTGTTGAAAGCGACCCAGCAGTGAGGTGTTTTTTTATCGAGTTCTTGAAAGATGAGATTGAAGGTAAAGATTTAGTGGAGGAGGAGAGTTGATCCCATGAAGACATTAGAAAATAGTTAACTGAGGTACGGGGGTATTTAGGAGGAAGTTTAAAGTTTCTTTTGTTATTTTCTCGGGTTATGATTGGAAAAGGGTTTCTGAATGGGCGGAATATATCAGAAACATAGGAGGGGACCAAATTCGCCATGACTGAAAACATAATTTTTTGAGCATGCATTTTTATTCTATCAAATGAGAAATCCAATTTAGTTGTTCGAATATTTTGGAGGTACAAGAGCTAGGTAAGGCTCCCAGTACTATTATGCCGGCTTGGTATTGAAGAGACTATAGTTTCGATAATTTCTTCTGGAGTGAGTTATGATAGAAGATGTCACAGTAATCAAATTGTGATTGGATAAAGACATTATATATAACATTTAAATGTTTGGACCTAACTTTGCAGTATAGAGGTTTTAGTGCATTTACGGCCCGTTGAACCTTTTCGCAAACATGATCAGTATGATCATTAAAATTTAGTTTTGAATCAAGTACTATAGTCCCAGGTGTTTGTGGCTCTTTGACCTAGGTATCATGGTATTGTTTATATACAATTCAGGGTATGTACTATTATCATTTTCTTTGCCGAATATAATTTTGCGGCACTTTGCCGGTTTAAAATTGAGTTTCCATTTATTGGACTAATTTTCAATGGTACGTAGGTCACCGTGTAATATAGCATGTGAATCAACATCTCCCCGACGCGAGGGCATAAAGAGGGAAGTATCATCCGCATAGATGAAACAATCAGTAGAGAGTCCGTCAGGGAGGTCATTTATATATATGAGAAAAAGTAACGGACCAAGTATGCTACCTTGGGTTACACTTGTATTTATGTAACCTCCCTTAGATAAATTAGACGATTTCCCACCAACACGTACTTTAACTCTTCTATTAGTCAAGTACGATGACAATAGTGCATGAAGTTTGCCGGTTAGACCGTAAGACTTGAGTTTAAAGAAAAGGAGTGAATGGAAAACTCTGTCGAATGCAGCCTCTATATCGAGAAAGACTCCTCTGGTGTCATAACCATTAATAGAGTTACTCGTAATTAAATTATGAATCGCCAAGAGCTGGTGCTCTGTGCTATGACCCTTCAAAAAGCCGGATTGTTTAGGGTATACAGTAGGAGTTTGTTGTTCAGAATAAAGTTAATCACTCTATTATATATTATTCACTCTAAAATCTAAGATATAACACTAAGTAAAGAAATTGGTCTATAGTTTAAAATAGATTTTTTATCATCTTTTTTAAAGATTGGGCAAATTTCGACAATTTTCCAGATGTTGGGGAAGGTATTAGACTGTATACTTGCGTTGAACAGAATATTTAGGGGCTTCACCACGGAGGTTTTGGAAAGTTTTATCATCTTGACGGTAATCAGGTCAGGGCCGTTAGCTTTAGATGGGTCTAAATCATCAATTATCGATTTAATTTCACTAATAGTGGATGGTATCTGAGATAGGGAAGCATCAGTTCTTACAGGAAAGAGAATTTCGCCAACATTTGCTACAGAGTCCGAGTGGTACATTGATGAGAAATAGGACAAAAATTCATCAGCCTTTTCTTGATCAGTAGAAGCGACAGATCCATTTCTCGGGTTATTGAGAATAGGAATAAAAGACGATCGCTGTTTCCCAAGAATGTTTTTCATTACGGTCCAGTATGATTTACTATCATCACCTTTATTGTCGAGGTTCTCTATTCTNAGTGGGCAAATTTCGGCAATTTTCCAGATGTTGGGGAAGGTATTAGACTGTATAATTGCGTTAAACAGAATATTTAGGGGCTTCACCACGGAGTTTTTGGTAAGTTTTATCATCTTGACGGTAATCAGGTCAGGGCCGTTAGCTTTAGATGGGTCTAAATCATCAATTATCGATTTAATTTCATTAATAGTGGATTGTATCTGAGATAGGGAAGCATCAGTTCTTACAGGAAAGAGAATTTCGCCAACATTTGCTACAGAGTCCGAGTGGTACATTGATGAGAAATAGGACAAAAATTCATCAGCCTTTTCTTGATCAGTAGAAGCGACAGATCCATTTCTCGGGTTATTGAGAATAGGAATATAAGACGATCGCTGTTTCCCAAGAATATTTTTCATTACGGTCCAGTTCTATTATGACCGATGACCCACCCCCCTTTTTTTTGCAATTTTTTAACGTACTTGGATATATCATGAAACAATAAATTTTTTTAAAAAAATTAAAAAAAAAAAAAAAAAAACAGCAGCGAGTGATCAACCGGTATTTAGGTTGAACAAGGTCAAAACCTGATGTTGTCAGAAAATGAGTACTCTTCAATTTTCTAAACATAGATAAAGCATTTAATTGTTTGTGTTTGTCACTCCAAAATATCCATTTTGGCACTTGAAAATGTTTTAATATGAGAAAGACCTTTGTCACGTAGGTCGTTTCACTTGAAAACGATCCATTCATTATGCATTGCCAAACGGTTTACGGACGTGTACTAGATACGGGGACACTGCACTCCATTTTCCATAAATGTACTGTTTTTTTATTGCCGTATCAACCCCAAAAGCTAATCGACTCTAAGTTTACCAATTTTCACACATTTTTTTTCAAACTCCGTTTATAGTTGAGTTGTTAACTAACAAACCAACAAAGGCAAACAAGTTGCCATAAGCAATAAGTGGGTGATCAATCGAAATAAAGTTGCAATTCATGCAATGTGTATATTTATACTTTTATAAACATATGTATAGTAATCATTTAAATGCACACCTATATGAAATATCAGCAATATAATAATCTATAATCTCGGCGCGGATAATTTCAAAAGTGAAGTAATGTTTCAAAGACATATTGAATATTTTTAAATACTTCAGATAGATGGAATGAACAGGTGTCTCTGTGAGAGTGAGGATTTAGCCGAACATACAGAATAATACCAAGATCTAACTTGATAAAAACATCTTTTGAATTGAAGAACAATTGTCTTTATTAAAGTTCAAAAGCAAGAGCTGCTACAATTTTGAGTTATTAGAAAACTCAACACGTTTTACATAAATTTTTTCTATGCCCATGCAAACATAAGATATGATTCCCACTTATTAAAGTGTAGTGCTTGATTAATGGCTCTACAATTTGTGAGTAGATTTTTTTTACGAAATATGCAAATAAAGGGCCAGAAGAAAAGACATTTTGAAAAGAAGTTCCTAATTACTTGGTTTATCGACAAAAATACCTTGAAAAAATCAAAACACCGAGGTTAACTGCACGGGTCGTTGTTGATTCAGATTTTTTTGTGTTTTAAATGCCTGACTACAAAAAGTCTAATTTGAGTGTATATGATCCTTTTCCTAGTAAACTATAAGTGTAATAGGAAAATAAAAAATTGAAAAACATCAGGCAAATCAAAATCCTCTACGGCATCACGTTTCACAAACAAAGGCGATAAACACGGAAAAAGATTTCTATGATATTAACCCCGCATAACATACATGTACCACTAATTAATAATTAACTAATATTCCTTCAATTATAGCTAAATGTTCGATATACAACCAAATTCCATAAATATAAAACCCTTTGTTAAACAGCCCCTCTCATATATTAGCACACCTATACGCCATTATAATTATTATAAATTTAATTTATCTATTTATATATGAAGTGCACGCGATGTTCAATTTGGGCAGATCCTTGCAAAAAGAAAACATTAGAGAGTTTGGAAAACATTGAAAACAGGAAGTTCAATCAAAGAAGTGAGGCCTATATACTAAATTAAATGAAAATCTATCACTCTATTCAGTTTGTCCGTTTGGCTTGTTGACCAAAACTATACGTTCCGAATCTTTAGCAAAGCAGCACTCTGCAAATGACTTCATTCAATTTTTCTTCTCCATATCTCATCAGTTAATCAGGGTGCAACTACTCTGAAAAAATAAATACGAAAATTCAAAAGTATTCAGAGTGTAGTTAGATGCCCCATATTCCAAATATCTCATCTCATTTCGGTGGGTGAGGAGTTGGGGAGGAATGAGGAAGGTTATGTGGGTGGTATAAAAGGATACTAAATGATGCTTACTAGATACTGATAAAACCAGATATAAAGCTTTTGAGCGGTTTACCGGTATGATAATCTGTTATCTTTAAGGGAAAAGTTAATTCCTCAAACACAGACAATTATCTACCAGTTAACAACAACAGCTGTAACAAATAAAAATGACACAAACACAGACACACACAAAAAAATGAAAATGAGAAAAAAAAAGAAAACACGGGTAAATTAAATTGTAGTTGACAAAAAATAATATACTGGGTTATCAATGCAATAAACTATTATCTACAAAATAAATGTTTGGCGCCCTTGAATTATTTACAAAAATATGACTGCACCTGTAAATTGAGAAAACAGTGGGAAATGGAACATTTGTGCATCTTGTTTTTTTCAATTGAAACTCAGCCATTAGCACTGATAGAGATGTAAAGAGGGATGGTGTGTCCAATATCAATTTTTATATTCAGATTCATCTTAATAGATGCTATAAAATAGTAAGCATCAATGTTTTTCTTTTAAATATACTTATCCCTTTAATACCACATTTGTTTTTAAATGTAAATGATGGAGGTAAAGAACTTACCGAGTAAAGATCGGTGGTTAAAGTGCAATAGCATATGTTGTTACCACAGCAACCTCTGTAGGTCTGTGCAGTGGACCAAAAGCCAGTAGAATATTTATTGCTACACAAAGCTGTGCAGGGATTCACTCTGACATAGTACTCTGCCACCGTGCCTGAACTGACTTTAATCAGGGTAGCATCCGACGAACAGATATCGGGCGCCACTGAAAAAAAAGATGGATCATTCTGTATTCCTTAGTCTTTTATCTCATATACTGTATAAGTGACATGCATTAAAAGCTCCATATTTGTAATTTCAAAATAAAAAAGAACACGGATTTCCAACTAAAATACTTAAATCTATCATGAAATACGTTTCCACTGTGTTTCCAAGTTTTATATGTAATTAAAAAGATTATGCCTATCTGAAGAAAAGGAAAACACAAGTTGGAGTAATAAACAGTGCGTTATAAAGTAAAAATACCTCATGGTAAAGTAAACGGTACGCTGAGCATCATCAGCATCGCCGCATTATAACAAATGGATCTTATCTTATTGCTCTAAGAGTTAATGCCAATGACAAGCTCGTGGGGTTTAAAAGCCAAAGGTAAGATTACCAGTAAATTTTATGGCATAATCATCAAACATGCATTCAAGACAAAAAAGACCAGGGGATTCCAACTAAATTTTGTTTTTAAGGTCATTTGAAAGAATAACATACCGCATTACACATTTGCCTGTGGTTTTGAAGTGCTTTAATTACCGTAGTCATTACTAAATTTTTATTATCATGCACAAAGTGTTGTGTATCGTTGACTAATGCATGCAATATAACACTTTCAAGTATTTTGATTCTCTCATAATTCTTTGAAAGAGTTAAAACTCACATGTAGTGGGGGCGGTGGTGGTAGACTCTGCGGTTGTTGACTCAGTGGTGGTAGGTTGAGTGGTTGTTGACTCAGTGGTGGTAGGTTGAGTGGTTGTTGACTCAGTGGTGGTAGGTTGAGTGGTTGTTGACTCAGTGGTGGTAGGTTGAGTGGTTGTTGACTCAGTGGTGGTAGGTTGAGTGGTTGTTGACTCAGTGGTGGTAGGTTGAGTGGTTGTTGACTCAGTGGTGGTAGGTTGAGTGGTTGTTGACTCAGTGGTGGTAGGTTGAGTGGTTGTTGACTCAGTGGTGGTAGGTTGAGTGGTTGTTGACTCAGTGGTGGTAGGTTGAGTGGTTGTTGACTCAGTGGTGGTAGGTTGAGTGGTTGTTGACTCAGTGGTGGTAGGTTGAGTGGTTGTTGACTCAGTGGTGGTAGGTTGAGTGGTTGTTGACTCAGTGGTGGTAGGTTGAGTGGTTGTTGACTCAGTGGTGGTAGGTTGAGTGGTTGTTGACTCAGTGGTGGTAGGTTGAGTGGTTGTTGACTCAGTGGTGGTAGGTTGAGTGGTTGTTGACTCAGTGGTGGTAGGTTGAGTGGTTGTTGACTCAGTGGTGGTAGGTTGAGTGGTTGTTGACTCAGTGGTGGTAGGTTGAGTGGTTGTTGACTCAGTGGTGGTAGGTTGAGTGGTTGTTGACTCAGTGGTGGTAGGTTGAGTGGTTGTTGACTCAGTGGTGGTAGGTTGAGTGGTTGTTGACTCAGTGGTGGTAGGTTGAGTGGTTGTTGACTCAGTGGTGGTAGGTTGAGTGGTTGTTGACTCAGTGGTGGTAGGTTGAGTGGTTGTTGACTCAGTGGTGGTAGGTTGAGTGGTTGTTGACTCAGTGGTGGTAGGTTGAGTGGTTGTTGACTCAGTGGTGGTAGGTTGAGTGGTTGTTGACTCAGTGGTGGTAGGTTGAGTGGTTGTTGACTCAGTGGTGGTAGGTTGAGTGGTTGTTGACTCAGTGGTGGTAGGTTGAGTGGTTGTTGACTCAGTGGTGGTAGGTTGAGTGGTTGTTGACTCAGTGGTGGTAG